TATTTCTACCTCTTTTTTCTTTTGGCTGTTGGCAAGTGGGATTATCTAATGTCTATATTTTTCTGATTGTAGTTAACTTCCTTGGGTTGGAGTTTTCTTTCCAGATCTTTCCGTAGGGTTGGGTTAGTGGATACATATTGTTTAAATCTGGTTTTGTCATGGAATATATCATTTTCTCCATCTATAGTGATTTAAAGTTTTTATGGACATAGTAGTCTGTGCTACATCTGTGTTCTGTTAGTGTTAGTAGAATATCTGTGCAGGACCTTCTGGCTTTCAGAGTTTCCATTGAAGAAGTCAAGTGTAATTATGATAGGTTTGCCTTAATATGTTACGACCTTTTTCCTTTGATGCTTTTAATATTCTTTCCTTATTCTGCATGTTTGTTGTTTTGCTTATTATGTGACAAGGGGACATTTTTTGTGGCTTACTCTGTTTGTGGTTCTGTATGTTTCTTGTACTTTTATTGGCATGTCTTTCTTTAGGTTGGGAAAGTTTTCCTTTCTAATTTTGTTTCAATATGTTTTCTGTACCTTTGAGTTGGGTTTCTTCTCCTTCTTCTATACCTATTATTATTAGGTTTGGCCATTTCACAGTATCCCATATTTCCTGAATATTTTGTGTTAGGGATTTGTTGTATTTAAGATTGTCTTTGATGGATGAATCTATTTCTCCTAGTGTATCTTCAATGCCTTGGACTCGTCTTCCATCTCTTGTATTATGTTGGTTATGCTTCCTTCTAGAGTTCCTGATCATTTACCCAGCTTTACTATTTCCAGCATTCCCTCAGACTTTGTTTGATTTTATTGTCTCTATTTCAGCATTTAAGTCTTTCACTGATTGAATTGTTTCCTTCACTTGTTTGGTTGTTTTTTCTTGGCTTTCCTTGTTTTCTCTAAGATATTTGGTTTTTTTATTACAGTTTTTGGTTTGTCTTTTCCTCCATTTCTTGATTTTTTTTGTTTTTTCTTCCATTTCTTTAAGGGGTTTTTCTCATTTCCTCTTTGAGGGTCTTTATCATCTTCATAAAGTTGTTTTAGGGTCGTTTTCTTCTGCTCCATCTGTGTTGGGACATTTACGTCTTGCTGGTATGGAGTACCTAGACTCTGGTAGCATCACATTGATCTTTCTGTTGCTGATTGTGCTCTTTTTTGGGGGGATTTGTGACAAGGTTTCTCTGTGGCTTTGGAGGCTGTCCTGGAACTAGCTCATGTGGACCAGGCTGGTCTCAAAATCACAGAGATTCACCTGCCTCTGCCTCCCAAGTGCTGGCATTAAAGGCGTGCCTCACCACTGCCTGGCTTGCTGACTGTGTTCTTATACAGTTGTCTTCCCATACCTTCTTCCTGTGGGTGCCTGTGTGGTCTCTCTCTTGCCTGGTGGATACAAGCAGGTCCAATACACTGATGGCTCTCCTCTTCTAGTGGGTAGAGGCATGACTAGCACCAGGATGTTGGCAGACCCTGGATGGCCTGATCTGGTGGGATGGGTTCCCCAGAGCACAGTTCCCAGGCAGCAGGAGTCTCCAAGCTGGGCACTGGAAGTCAGACTGGAATCCAAAGTAAAGTTTTTTTTTGAAATGCCAGTTAAGAACAGAGAAACCCTGTCTCAAAAAAATAATAATCACACCAAGGTGGCTCAAAATGCAGACGCCATAGGATAACAGCATTCTCCCTGGAAAGCATCATATAATCTGCAGGGGTGTGCATGACCTGGAGGGACAAGATGCTAAATTACCAAAACAATATGGGATCCCATTGATTCAATTTCTTTATTCAAATGGGACATAGAAGCCGAGTAGATCAAAGCGTAGCAGAACGATTTGACAACAGTTCCAGTGTGTTACGGGACCTGCTCTTTGAACCTGGAGAACTCCTGGATTTATTTCTAAAATATTTGACAGACACAAGTGAGAAGAAGGAAAGAAATGCTGATGCTGGCTTGAGGTTTTAGTCCGTGGCTCCTGGTCCTTTCTCATAACCCATGACAAGGCAGAAACATTGTGGCAGAGGGCATGGCTGAAGAATGCTTTTTAACTAATGATGGCCAGAAAACAGAGAGTGAGCACAGGGCCATATGCAATGTACACCCTTAATAACTCTGTCTCAGCTTCTCCATTCTGACAGCACTTTATAGTTGCTATCACCTAGAGAAATCTAATCTCAAGTGAATTCAGTGAGTTCAAAGCAGTTCTCGAGTAATTTAATGGTGTTCAAAAGTTCCAACTCCTAGTCAGTCTCCCTACTTGGGAGTATGCTATGCAAAATCCAGGCATTTTCACAATTCTCCTCTGCAGGCTGATAGGTTCTCTAATGGAGGCCCAGGGTGTTTCAAGACATTGTCTCAATTTTATAGGTCCAAATGCATTTTCTGTGCGCCATAGATAACCAGAACCTATGGATCTAACTCAATTACACTCAATGTATGTCTTTTATACACTTGCAACAGAAAATGCAACCTGGACCCAGGACAATTCTTGCCTTGAAAGATGTTCAGTTTGATACTAGAAAAAGACAGGTAAGAAGATGAGCATCCCTAATGTTGCTGGTCTCAAAGAGATTTGAAGTCAGTTCAGTTAGAGTTCGTGGTGGGAGAGAGTACAGATTGGGGATGAATGAGAAATACTCCCTGGAATAGGGTTTGCACATTCCTCAAAGCCATGTGACTGGTTGTGATCATTCCAAATAGATACATTTATTGACTTAGAGAAAAGCTGTGCTTAGTCATCTTGGAACATCCTCAAGCTGGACAGGTCTGTTCACCAATAAATTATAGTTTGAAAACTTGCTTGGTAAGAGAAGAACCAGGAAAGGAAAACTGAATATAGCTGACATGATAATGGCGTGCATAATCCATTGCTTTGTTCTGTGAACTATCCTTTTCAATGCCACATCAGGCAGCTGTTTGAAGGGATATTGGCTTGTTTTTATTTTAATTTTTCTTACATGATACCTAAAGCTCCTTAATAGAAATTCAGTAGTATACACAGAGTAACTGCACATTCCAGATGAAATCCTAAAGAGCCCAAACTTATTCATGAATTCTAAGCTGGACAATAAGTTGTTTGTAAGTAACCATCTCTTCCAAATCCATCAGGGAAGATGGGTCCTCCATGCCATGACAAGAACAGAGTTGAATGAAGGAAGCTACCCTTGCCTACTTGGGAGTTCACACCACGAACACTCAGCTATGGAATCCCATAAGGGTATTGTGTGATTTATGAACAAATAGGAACACTCTAATTTTGAGCAGCCTTTGCTACTCCAAAGATTACTAAAATACAAAATCCTAATATTAAAATACGCTTAATTGAAATAAATACAAGTGTCTTATATTTTCAAAATCAGAACAAAACAGAAAGCCAAATGAAACAAAACTTTCTGATGCTTATCAGGCTGCTCCAGAGAGCTGTGATTCTTCTTTAGACTAAGTACCTATGTAAGATCTTTTCTTCTAAGCAAGTTTTCCCCGGGTCTTCATGTTGCTACTAGTGTGGTTTTTCAGAGCAATAAACAGGAAGTTGGGTTTCTATTGATTTTGGAAGTCAAAGTTGACCTGACCTGGGACCATGGAGGGAGTTCAGACCCTTTGTAACTGAAGAAAGTGGAGTCTTCTTTAAAGTTTAGAATCCATAATTGGTGGTGAAAGGAGGAGGGGAAGGATTAGAGGAGGCCAGCAGGTTTTTCCTGCTGTGGCAACTTACATTCAAAGTAGATCAAAAGCACTATGAGATCATTCTCATTTCCACACAGCCCTGGACATCCCAGACCCCATTTCTGTCTGCTCTGCTGGTGTGATGTTGTGTAAGTATTCCTCTAGAGATAGACTCTATATGTACACACGCGTGCTGGTCATTATGTATTCTTTGTAAAGACACAAAGCATGTTACAGTCTACAGACTCACTGACTCTTTTAATGAACCCATCTGATACTGTTAAAAGTTAAAACCATTGGTTTTCTCTCACAGTTTCCTTGGTTTAATGTTTCTAGTGACTCCTATTTAGCCTGAGGTTGGATTTGAAATTTGGACAGCTCTAATTTAATTGTTAAAGAGTCAACCCCTTCTATTTTTATTTATTTATTAATTATTACTATTATGTTAAATTTTGTCACATTTTTTCTAGGTTCTTAAGATGAGTTGTATTCTGTGGTGATGGAACTAGGATGCTAGAAGTGTTCAAAATTGTATGGTACAAGATACTACATGATAGCTACATCAGTTAGTGAGACACGAAAATGCACTAATTTTGCTTAATGTAACTTCATTTAATTTATATGTGACTACAGCTGGTTAATAGTTACTACATTGGACAATACAGATTTCTAGAGATCTTTTTCCAAGGCTACTGATATAGTAAATTATTATTATTATTATTACTACTGTTATGGTTTTTAAAGACAGGGTTTCTCTGTGTAGCTTTGGAGCCTGTTCTGGAACTAGCCTTTGTAGACCAGGCTGGTCTTGAACTCACAGAGATATGTCTGCCTCTGCATACCAAGTGCTGGGATTAAAGGCATGAGCCACCACTGATAGGCCTGATATAGTAAATTATATTAATATGTTTCTAATGTGTTTATCTTTTATAAAACTATTAAAGTTTGAATTTTCTTTGTGTTGGAAGCTTGTCTTAGTGGTAGAGAACTTATCTAGTATGCAAAAGGCCTGGAGTTGGATTCTTGGCACTGCAATGAACAGTAAATCCATAAAGTTTTCTTACCATTAAAATAATAAAATAAGCATGTATAGAAATATATCTGCATAGCACTCCATCTTAGCATAGCTGAGTTTGTATTGAATATTTCCTTCTATACGATTAATATATTTCCAACTTATATTTCTTATGTATGATTGACCTTTTGCAGTTGAAAATACAATGAATAAATAAGTTGATAAAAATCATTATTTTATTGATAATATTGTATGAAATCATACAAATTAGAAACATATAAAGAGCCCCAGATATCTCCCAAAGTCAAAGAAATATAGGTGTTTGTATTAATCAGTTAAAAATATGTGATTAACTTTATTTAATTTAAAACAGGTCACAGATAGATGTTAGATTAAAAGAAAATACATTAAAATATCCCCTTATCCTTTTATTGAACTTGTTCTTTTTTGCCAGAGAATGTTTGTATGGAGGAACTAGGTTTATATTGGTGCATAGAAAGTGAAAAATAGAGATTTTCTTCTTCAACACTACATTCTTAGTGACGATTCTGAGATGGGAAATTAAAATGAAGCAAGAGAAACTGTTGTTTCCAGGCCTCAGTTAACTTCAGTACCAGTAGCACAGTAGAACAATAGCACTTAAGGGGAAGACAGTCTGCCAAGGAAGAGGATGCTGTTGTTCTTCTTGTAGTTGATGTAGAAAAGGAAAGGGTGATCACAAGTAACAACTTCGGGTATTGATATTGATGTTACAGAGACTTCTACCCCTGTGGCACCTGCAGCTTCTGTCCCCTCTTCATTTACCTCAATAAAGGACTTGTGTAAAATATTAGACACCACAAGACCTTGACTGCCACTTATGCCCGAGAAGTCGGCCTTCTGAGGAATGAAGGCATCCACCATCCCCATGTGTTCCAATGGAGCTGGGAGGTCATACTTCTCTTCCACTTTGAATCGAGGTAATGATAAATCCAATTCTACTACGTGCATATTCTGTGGGCTTGTCCACTCTATTAACTTATCAGCAGTGAGCTTATCTTCAAGCTATAAAAATATAAGAAAAGAAGTTGCCATGATTAACTAAAAGCCTGTAACTCACATGAGCAATGAATTAAAGGGAAACCTTTAGCAATAAATATTATAGGTACTGTATTTTATAAATATAATAAATACTGATAATTCAGTATAGATATTATTTACTTAGCTAGCTTGAAATTACATATTATTATTACCAATATTCAAAAACAGAATCACTATTTTGTACAGAATAAATTATATCCATTATTGTTTATGGTGCCAGTCACCTGTTACTTTTAATAGATGTTTTTTTATGTTTTCCAAGCATAACTACATTCTATAGTTACTATATAATGCTCTAGGTTTTAAGTTTTTTATTCAAAATATTTATAAACATTTTATACATTGTGATTTATTTCTTTCAACAAAATTTGACTTGTTCCTTACTATTGGTATGAAGTTTATATTTAATGTATATAGCTCTATTTAATTACTAATTAGGCAAGCCTTCAGTGTGTTTCAGGCTGTGTGCAGAACACTTGTAATACAGGATGAAACACCATATATCCTTTAAATTTTTTAATTCTTGTCAAGTTTAATTATTTTCATTACTGTCTTGTTTAAATTTGATAGCTTAGGAAGAAATTAGGCAACAGAAGGAAGAGTCGGAGACACAAGCTTTACCTTCTTCAGACCATCGATTTCATCTGGTAGTAGGATAAACATGCTTAGTTCTTTGCCTTTGTATGGTAGTTCCACAATCTTGGCCTGTACATCCTCCACGAAGTTAACGTTAAACTTCCTTCTTTGTTTCATCATCTGGACAGGATTACTAGTACTCTGTAACAAATCAATGTGTCAAACATCCAGGGAGACACAAGATAGCATAGATAATGTTGCTGAGCTACCCAAACACATCAATATCTTTTGAAGAGATAATCTTGAAATTATGTGAAGTCCAAAGCAATAATTGTCTCTAGTTAAATAAAGTTATAAGAATAAAACATATGCCGGGCGTTGGTGGCGCACACCTTTAATCCCAGCACTCAGGAGGCAGAGGCAGGCGGATCACTGTGAGTTCGAGGCCAGCCTGGTCTACCGAGCGAGTTCCAGGACAGCCTCAAAAGCCAGAGAGAAACCCTGTCTCAAAAAACCAAAAAAAAAAGAATAAAACATATATCATACTTTATTTTGTACTTTCCATGGCATCACTTATATTTAAATTGAATCATCCACATATCGTCATAAGACATTATATAAATAAACTGTGATCAATACCTTGTTCAGCCAAAAATTTTCTTCTACAGTCTGCTTTTCATCAAATTTGTGATCCCATTGTCCTTTGAAATACACTGCATTCACTAGAACCATTATAGTGTCACTGCTCAGGCTCCCATGAGGAAATAAGTCTTTGATTTTGCCTGCCAGGGAAAGAACAAAATCTCTATCATCAAAGTAGAAGGAACTTGTCTGTAGGGTGCTCTACGAGAATTGTCCATTGATCGCTTATCACTTATTCATTCAAGTCATTACTTGAAGGAGAACTGACTTGTTCATAAGACATAGCCTTCCTCATAGCCTTATAAGATACTTGGGATGGACATATAAGTTCTTGTCATAGGAAATGTATTTAGGTTACTGTCTGGGTGATTATGGCTAACTCAGTGAAGACTGACAAGCTGTTTTGGTCTACTCTGTCAACTTACCTCTGTTCCTCCATCACTCCATAAGTTACTGTTTCCCCCCTTCAATTTAAGGTTCAATAACAAAAGTGTTATTCTATCCAAGGCCTGATTGTTCTTTTAACAAGTGAGGAGAACTCTACCATCTGAAGTACATTCCTGACAAAGTCAAACACAATTCCAGGTGTATCCTCCTGTTCACTTTCATTTTGGACTGCTGCGGGCTTGGCCTATCAAGAGAGTGAGATATGGGATAGGTGTCTAAAGAGTGGAAGCTTTGTTGTCATCTGCTCTAGGTGATGAAGACATGATCCAAGATGACAAGAAGTGCCTTGTTTTCCTCCCTGACAAAAGAGAATTGGTGACATAAAGAAACAGATACGATATCAAAATGTTTGGGAGGCGACTTCAGATTCTCAAAAATACCACTAACTAAGCTAAATGTAAATGATTCACCTGTTTTCACTGACAGGCTTTCTGTTAACTTCTCCATACTTCATATTTATGGAGATCACCCCATCATCTCTGGTACTTTCCCCAGTGACCTCCCACAAATACCATTTGTTTGGCTTTCCACCCAGGAATTAATCTTCTTTTGGCTTTCTTCTGCAGCATGTACAAAATCAAGTGATTCCACATTGGCTTGGTAAAACTCCTTAATGTCTTCTAAGAATTCCTTTGAAATGTGAAGGAATCAAAAAGAATTAAGAACAATTCAAACATTATTTAAATTTTATTATTTGTGATGATACTATAATCTGATAGCAGACCCTGACCACATCTGCTATTCTGAGACATATAGATGTCTTAGTTAGAGGATAATATGTAGGCAATGAGTGCACAGTGAAGGCTGGTATGTCACTAAAGTCAATACCACACAGCAAAAGGCAGGTGGAAAAGAGGCCATGACTTGCAAATTTAATAGTAAGCTGCACCAAGAGAGCTGATTTGCTCCTGAGCTATCATACCACTAAATTAAACCATTGCATTTCTCATTAGATTACATTTTCAATACAGGAAATGCTATTCTCAATGGTATGTATGAAATTCTTTCCAGAATTTCCCCAAGCCTGCCAATTCTGGAAACACCATAATCTCTGTGATTGAGTCAGTGCTGAGTTATTACTAACATTTCATGACAAACTTGGCTGACTTACATTCTCTCTTATTGGAAAGTTCCTGAGCCTATGCTTGACACGTATATCACTAGGATCTTGGACAATCCAGTGGGTTAGAAATGTGACTATGGGACTTGTGCTCCCTGCACAAATGTTGCTTCTCTGAATCTGCCTGGCTTCACTCTTACTTATGGCCATTCAGACACTAGATTAAAGGTATGCAAGAGCAGCTGCAGCTTACCTGGAGAAATGGGAAATCCTTTGCTCCATAGATACCATTGGCAGACTTCAGGTCATAAGCATCATTGGTTTTGTTTAATTGAGTCATAAGCTTTTGAAACTGGTGATGGACATTTTCTGATTGTTCATCCTTCAATATCAAAAAGGGCGTTCATTGAATCCTTCTGGTGATGTAAATAATAGACTCAAAATAAACACCCAAACACCTGTAATCTCAAAGACAACTTTTTGAGTGTTCTCTAATATCTGTTATATTTTATCTTAAATATGCCCACTTTGCATTCAACTTCTTCCAAAAATGCCTTTCTTCTTTCTTTAGCACATTACAATCTGCTGCCTTTTGAACTAAATATGCAGTGCTTTTAGGCTGTCTAGGCTTTTAATTGTCTTATGGTGGACATTCTTGGTATGTAAGGTAGTGCATGCCCACATTTAAGGACTGGACTACATGTCAGGAGTCTAGTCTGAGTACAATCTAAATTAAATACAAAGAGGTTCAGAGAATTTAATGACCTCTTTAAAGAAGTTAAACTTACTTAAATTCAAGTTACTTAAATAGATGTGATAACAATCATTTTCCAAGGTGAATTTGAATGTGCGCATATTTCTCTTAATATGTTAAATTAAGATAAATTGTTTTAGTAATATTATTGTGATATTTACTGTTATCTGACAGTAACAATAGCTAATCATTCATCATGCTTTCTTATTTATAATAGGCCAGACATCTTTGTGTTTACATATGTTGAGTCATATTCCTTTTTAATCCCACTTTACTGGAATGCAGACCCAGGGATTCAGGTCACCTGTGTTTTTTTCATGTTCTCCATCTGTGAGGGCAAAGAGCTAGAGCAGAAGCTAAGCCATCTTATTTAGATCCAGTGCTGACCTTCTTCTGTGCATAAAACAAACTCATGAACATAATGACTGTGAGACAAAAATGTGATACTACTCTGCATCCTCATCTCTTTTGTTTGGAAATTCCCTTTCAGATTGATTTTCTAATTGTGAAGTGTTCACTTTAAATTATAATACTTTAAACTATGTATATAAATGTTCACTTTAAATTATAATGTTAGTAATCTGTAGTTCTTCTCATCATTAGGTGCCCTGGACTTACGTGACAGTCTGTAGATTTTTCCGTTGTCTTCTTTGTGGTTCCATTGAATTGAAGAACCTGGAAGAGATGGCAAGCGGGACAAGAAAACTTTCCTTAAAGTTCTGTCCAAGTCCAACAAAACGAAAACAGAACAAAACCCTGAAAAACAAATAAAAAATTAGAAAAATTCCCCCAAACTTTAGCACAAGTATTTGTAAGATTCACCAGTCATGTGAATAGATGCTCATCCACTCATTGCCCAGAGAACACCTCAATCCATATCCCTCAGAGTTTCTGTTCACTTTTAGTTGTTGGGCACTTGAAGGCAGTCCTCCTAGCCCAGCACCCAAAGGAAGTCCAGGAAGCATCTGGAGCATGTTTGGGAAGGGTGTGTCCATCCCACAGTTTTGTGTGCAGTCATGGCAATGCCTACTCAACATCATGTTCTTCATCTTAGGCCTCTGACTTGAGGGATGGAGAGACAAATTCAAACTGGTCAACAAAATGAAGCTTACACCCACCTTCTCAATTTGTTGTTTAGTGTTTCCTTTGGCTCCAAGATCCAGCATTGCTAAAGCTGTCATGATACTGATTGGGGAGCAGAAGATGTTGTCCTCTGTTTCTCTGAGCTGACAGTACAGCTCAAGTGCGAATTTTGTAGTTGCTTCAGCAAATGAATGCATGGTGACCTTAAACTGCTAGAGTAGCATGAAGTCAGCACAAAGTTAAAATGACTTCACTAAAGAGACCATCACTCTGTAATGAACATTTCTCAAAGGAAATGACATGTATTATAAGATTCCGACAAATAAATTTATTATCAGTTTTCAATTCTTCTATAATGTACAAATGTTAATCTTGTAATTAGCAGTCATGGACACAGTGTCTTTAAGACTTTTACATAGAGCTAAAAGAGAATCTTTTTATCTTTCCTTCCTCACCAGTTGTGCTTGGTTTGGATGGAAAAGTTTTGTAATGAATTTCAAGATAAAGATTTCTGTAGCTAGCACCCAGTTAGCTGTCTAAAGGCACCTTCCAACTTTTCTTTTAACATGTGGTAGTTGTCAGACACAATCTCTATATGCTTGGGAAAATATGTATGTTTACTTAGAAATAAATTACTTAGATAAATAACAAATTAAGTGGCGGAAGCATTTAACTTTTCTTTGGCAGATTAAGAAAAATAAAATCAGGCAAAATATCATATACACATAAAATGAAATACCCCATTGTTATCCTCAAAGGTAAATCATACTTTTTTGTATAGCGGCTGGAAGCACTTACTTGTATTTCTGAAGGAAGAAGCAGCCAGGAAGGATATGAGACTGTGTGTGGCTTCTCAGCTCTAGAATATATACCTCTCTCCTTGTCACCACTGCCTCGTCATTTCAGCGGCGTTTCAAGTAAATCAACTTCAGATTTCGTAACCAGGTTAGCTTTTCCAGGTATGCAAATTTGTGAGAAAGGACTGGCTTAGTATCTTACCATTGTACTTCTCCATGGTGCACAGCATAGGTTGACTTTTAACTGTTATCAATCACTGACTCATCAGAATTGCACAGAGGTGCTTTTCTAATGGAAATGACATTACTTTAAAATTTCATCCCTGCTATGTTCCTGACAACTCTGTTTTTCTATGTGACACCCTCTTCAATTATCCCAATAAAGCTACTCTAATTTTAGGTTGTTGAATTTTCTTTAAGCCACACTGAGGATACCACACAACTAAAAAGCTTACATTAGTCACATTTTCTTTATGAAAGACTTCATTAATCCTGTCAATTTCTCTAGCAATTATTCTACACAGAGAGAAAGATAGTGCTCATTCTAGAACAAAGAGATACTAAAGACTCTGGAGAGGAGTGCTAATCTCTCCATGACATTCTGCCTTGCCATAGTTCTTCCTTAAGCCCCCGGAAGCTGTGCTGGACTTTTCTGTTGCTTAAAGAATGTGAGAAAGTTACTTATCTTGTCCTGACATTCCAATAACTAGAAGAGCAATTGAAACAATGGTTTTATTTGAACGACAGCTTTCTAATGCTTTCTATGAAAAGCAAACAGCAGAACAACCTATTCTTTCTGACACAGTAAGTTATCTGAGTTGTTGAACCTTTTGCTCTCACTTCACTGCTAATACACCGATTCTTGCTTATGAATACTAGGGTCAAATATGCAAGAAATAATAGGAAGAGATTGAAATAGTTATTAGGTTACTTATATGAGATATCACTGATTATTCAATGTAGATATTTATAGTTCTAAATTCCTGTCTTAAAACAACTATCACTGTATTCTACAGAATCTAATATGTTGTGCTTCAATTTTCATTTGATTGTACGAATTTTCAAATTTCTCTCTTGAATTCTTTGATCAACCCATAATTGTTCAAAAATGGTCTAGTCAATCTTTTTCTTGCTGATTTGTAGTCTTATTCAACTGCTATCCAACAGAATATAAGAAGCTATTTTAATATGCTTGCATTATTAAGACTTGCTTAATGACTTATTTTGGAAGAATTCCGTTGGATACACAGAATGTGCATTCTGCAGCTATTTTTGTAGATATCTGTTAAATTCCATAAAGTGGTTCCAAAGATAGTAGAATAAATAACAAAGAACTGAGCTAGATTTTGTGAAATGGAAACTGAAAGAACAATAAAAAGAATCAATGAGACAAAGATTTAGCTCTTTGAAAGGATAAACAAGTTTGACAAGCCCTTTGGCAAACTAGCCAAAGGAAGACTAGAAGACTCAATATAATTACAGAGAAAGCAGGTGTATTAAACAGATTGTGCTCAAGTCCAGATGATCACTGGAGAGTGTTTTTAAAGCTTAGTGTCTTAGAATTTCTATTGTGATGAAACATAATGACCATACACAATGTGGGGAGGAAGAGTTGATTTAACATCTGTGTCCATATCACCGTAATCATTGAAGGGAATTATGGCGGTGAAGCCAGCAGGACAGGAGCCTGGAACAGCAGCCATGGAGGAATGCTGCATACTGTCCTGATGGAGAGGCCATAGAGGAGTGCTGCTTATTTTCTTGCTTTTACACTCAGGATGTTCCACCTCACAGCTTCTGCTGTTCCAGGTTGTTATCCTGTGGTACTTGAATTTCTTGGATGCTGGACTCTCCTGCAGTCACTGGACTTCTCTTTCACCAGTGGCCTCTCCTGGGATCTCCTCAGACACTCTGATCCTGATACATGGTGCTAGCCTCAACTTATCTCCATGACCCCTTCAATCATGGCTGTCTACTGCCACTGAGGCTGCACCTTCAGCCAGGCCTCTTGCAGTGGCAAGTCTCAGCTGCTCTTAATGCCTTTGAAACCAGCACCAGAGGGATGATTCTTACACATCACTAAGTTTGACCGCAAGCAGAAAATGCATTGTTGTTCCCACCTTGGACCATAGTTTACACGAGTTAACCCTAAGGAAAGATTTTCAAATTTATGATCCTCAATGATGCAGGTCTCTTTTTAATCACAGCTAATTCTTTAGCTACAACCCACCATATACAAAATATCACATAAAGACCTTTGGTAGATAGAGTCTTTTGAGGACTCTTAAACTTCTCCTTGAAACTTCATAACAGACCTCCATCTCTTAACATTATCATCTAAGTTCTCACAACAGCTGATTAAGCTCTGAAAATTCAGTGGTTTTTCCTACCCAAGTTTCAAAGTCCTTCAACATTTACATTGCAATACACTATAAAATCTAGATGAAATGATACACACACACACACACACACACACACACACACACACACACACACACACACACACTGGATGGCCTGGATGTAGAGGGAGAAAGTATTTTGCATATTCGATGCAATAACTGTCAAAATTCCAACAATAATATTCATATAAATAGAAAGAATCAAGTCTAAGATTCAAACAGAAGTATAAAAGATTTCATAGACAAAGTAATATTGAGTGAAAAACATAATAGGGATATTGTAATTCACAACCTTACTTACTTAATAATATCAATATCAAAAATCCAGCATGGTAGTGGCCAAAAAACCAGACATGAAGACCAACACAAATGGAACGGAGGATTCAGAGATAAACACTCTCAGTGACACCATCTGAACTTTGACTAAGGTGCTACCTTAAATGCCCTTCCCTGATAATGACATAAATGGCTACCTTATATGCCATCCTGGAACATTCATTCAGTAGCTGATGGAAGCAGAAGCAGACACACACAGCTAAACTCTGACATGAACTCCTGGAATCCAGTTGCAGAGAGGGAGGACTGAGGAGCAAAGGGGTCAGCACCAGGCGGGAGAAACCCACAGAAACAGCTGACTTGGTCATGGGGGAGCTCATGGCTCCCAGACTGATAGCTGAGAAACTAGCATAGGACCCACCCAGATACCCTGAACGTGGGTGTCAGTTAGGAAGCCTGGTAGTGGATCAGTATTTATCCCTAGTATACAAATGGACTTTGGGAGCACATTCCACATAGAGGGATGCTCTCTCAGGCCTAGACACACGGATGAGAGCCTAGGCCCTACTCCAAATGATATGACATGCTTTGAAGATCCCCTGTAGAAGGCCACACCCTTCCTGGAGAGCAGAAATGGGATGGGATAGCAGGTTGGTGGGGAGCTTAAGAGGAGGGACGGTAGAGGGAACTGAGATTGACATGTAAAACAAGCTTGTTTCTAATTGGAATTAAAAAAAATGTTGCTGACAGTTGCTAGAATTTCAAATGACTTCTTTGTTTTCATTTCGTAGTTTGAAAGCTTTATATCTTGCATTAGAAGCTTTTTATCCATGTTAAGTTGCTATTTTTAAAGGGTGATATTTCCCTGCTTTGTTTCTCAGCCCATTTATCATCTGTATATAGTAGGGCTACTGATTTTTTCAGTTAATGTTGTGTCCTGCCACTTTGCTGAAGATGTGTATCAGCTGTAAGAATTCCCTGGTAGAGTTTTTTGGGTCACTTAAGTAAACTATCATATCATCTGCAATTAGTGAATGTTTGACTTCTTCCTTTCCAATTTGTATCCCTTGATCTCCTTTTGTTGTCTTATTGTCCTAACTAGAACTTCAAGTACAACATTGAAGAGATATAGAGAGAGTAGACAGCCTTATATTGTTTCTGATTTTAGAGGAATTGCATTGAGTTCTCTCCATTTAGTTTGATGTTGGCTGTTGATTTACTGTATATTGCTTTTATTATGTTTAGGTATATTCCTGTTATCTCTGATCTCTCCATGACCTTTATCATGAAGAAGTGTTGGTTTTTGTCTAAGGCTTTTTCAGCATTTAGTGAGATGATCATGTGGTTTTTCTTTTGCAGTTTGTTCGTATGGTGGATTATATTGATGGGTTTTCATATATTGAACTGTCCATACATCCCTGGAATGAAGCCTAATTGATAATGTTGGATGATTTCTCTGATGTGTTCTTGGATTTGATTTGCCAGTATTTTATTGAGCATTTTTACGTCAATATTCATGAGGGATATTGGTCTGTAGTTCTCTTCCTTAGTTGTGTCTTTGTGTGGCTTTGGTACCAAGGTAATAGTAGTCTTGTAAAAAGAATTTGGCAATGATCCTTCTGCTTCTATTATGCAAAATAATTTGAGGATAATTGGTATTAGCTGTTATTTCAATTTCTGGTAGAATTCTACACTGAAACCATCTGACCCTGGGCTTCTTTTGGGTGGGAGACTTTTGATGACTGCTTCTATTTCATGAGTAGCTATAGGTCTGTTTAAATTGCTTATCTGTTGTTGATTTAATTTTGGTAAGTGATATCTATCCAGAAAATTGTCTATTTCCTTTACATTTCTGAATTTAGTGGAGTACAGGTTTTCAAAATATGACCTGAAGATTCTTTAGATTGACTCATTGCCTGTAGTTATGTCCCCCTTTACATTTCTGCTTTTGTTAATTTGCATGCTCTCTCTCTGCCTTTTGGTTAGTTTGGATAGAGGTTTGTCTATCTTGTTTTTTTCGAAGAACCAACTCTTTGTTTCATTGATTCTTTGTATCATTTTCTTTGCTTCTACTTTATTGATTTCAGATATCAATTTGAATATTTCATGGTGTCTTCTCCTCTGGGGTGAGTTTGCTTCTTTTTGTTCTAGAGTTTTCAGTTGTGTTGTTAATTCTCTAGTGTGACTATTCTCTAGTTTCCTCATGTGGGCACTTAGTTCTTTGAACTTTTCTCTTAGTACTGCCTTCAAAGTATCCCATAAGTTTGGGCATGTTGTGTCATCATTTTCATTGAATTCTAGGAAGTCTAAATTTCTTTTTTTATTTCTTCCTTGATCCAGAAATGGTGCAATTGCACATTTTTCAATTTCCATGAGTTTATAGGGTTTCTGTAATAACTTCTGTTATTTCCGTTGTATCTTTGTTAAGTTTCT